ATATATATATATATATATATATATATATATATATATATACCATGATACACCAGACTTTACAACAAAATATAGCCAAAAAACCTTTAAACCAAACCCCTACTTAAACCTTCATTCATTCATTCATCATTCATTGTCTTTTCGGCTTAATCTCTTTATTAATTTAATAAATTTGTATTTTTGGAGCCTTGGTGTTGCCGCCTTTGATTTACATTTAATTTGCACTTTTTGCGGTTTTGGCTGAGCACCCAATTAATAGAGATGTGCGTGCTTTTGTACAGTATTTAAGAGTACCTAAGTAAATTAAATAAAAAGTAATCCATTTGTTGACTTTATTTCTGCAGAAATGTAATTTAATTACAGTAATGAGTTAATCTGAAATTAATTTCTCCCAACACTGAATGTAACAGTTGATAAGCTCCGCCTCCACAGAAAACTGACAGCCACATTTACCTCAGTGCCTGTTAAGCATTTTAATATGCAAAACTGCCAGCCAATCAAAGTGGGCGTTTACTTCTTAGTCTACAGTTGGCCACGCCCACTCAAACAGCATTCAGATGAGGCTCAAAAGCAGCACAGAAAACAGTTGATTACTTCCAAATTATGATGTTATTTTGACTCTTGATTAGATCTTAAGTGTAGCTCTGGTAATCTCACCTGTCCAGGTACGACGCTGTGAGAGTAAAGGCGGTTCAGATGCACCAGTTTATTTGGGGTGATGTTGAAATGCAGGGCAATGCTGTTCAGTGTGTCTTTCGGTTCAACCTGAACACACACACACACACTCGGTAAACACACAGAAACACACTAAAAAGAGTTCAGACACACATTTAAAGGAAACTCACCATGTATTCAACTGTTCCTGGAGGCCGGGTTTTCTCCTTCTTGGTCTGCGTGCCAGATTTACTGCTGTTGTCTGAAAGAAAAAGGTTCAAAGCACTTACTGAACGAACGAACGAACGCGCACACACACACACTTTTAAGAAAAATAAACACTTTCAGATTAAGTTCATATATTATAGATTCAGTCCTGCTGGATTCACTTCAGTTTAAAACCCCTCCAAAAATTATTATTATTTATTTCAATTGATTAATCTATTTTTTTATTAAATTTATTTAATTTAAAAAGAAGCTACACAAATTTAATTAATTAATAAAATAAATAATTAATAAAACAATTATTAATAGACAAATTATTATTAAACGGCAAAAACCATAAAATTAAAATGAGAAAACATGAAAGTTTTTATTTATATATACACACACTATAATTAATAATTAAGAAGCATTGATATGCAAGGTTATTTTATTATGCTACTAAGTGTACATTAAAATAAATTGATGATAATCGCCCAAGCAGGCAACTTTTTAAAAGTTTATTCTGATGTCATTAATTTAAAAATAATAATAATAATAATAATAATAATAATAATATTAAATAAGAAATAATAATAATAATAATTTTTAAAAATGAACAAAAAAAACACAGAACTTTTTTAAACAGAAATTTAAAACACACAACAAAAATAAATAAAAAGGCAAAAAATAAAACAAAAACTACAAAATAATAGTCTAATACCAAATATTAATAAATGGCATATTAAAAGCACAAAAATACAAAGTTTCATATAAACGATGGCTATATATACATATACATATATACATATATATATATATATATATATATATATAAAATGTAAATAAAAAACTGAAAACAAAACAAAAATAAAACAGAAGCTAAAAATCAAAGATTAATAAATGTATTAAAAGCACTAAAATCTAAAGTTTAATATTATTGTCCAGCAAATAATAAATTAATGAAAAAATAAAATAATTAAAATTAAATAACCTAATAAAATGACCTAATATTACTCCTTTGTTTCTGATAGAGTATTTTTGTTTTAATTCTAAGACAAAATAATAAATGGTATATTAACATCACTAAAAATAAGCTTCCCAATAGTCACTGTTAAAAAAAAAATTACACACACACACACACACACACACACACACACACACACACACACACACACACACACACACACACACACACACACACACACACACACACACACACACACACACACACACACACACACACACACACACACACACACACACACACCTAATAAAATGAACTAAAATTAAAACAAAAAATTTTAATCAGAAACAAAAAACATGAATAATCATTTATAAACAGTTTAACATCACTAAAATTGTTTCCCGTTAACATCCAACTAATAATAACCCAACAAATTATTCAACAAATAAAAACTAATAAAATGACTTAAAATAAAATTAAATTGAAAACAGAAACAAGTATTATTAATTAATAGTATGTTAAAAGCACTCAGAACTACTTTAATAGTAATATCCAGCTAAAAATGAATATACCCAATATAAAATGACTTAAAATTAAAATGAAAAAAAAACAATATTAAGAAATACTAATAAACAGTTTATTAACATCACAAAAAAATAAGTTTAATGTGAATGTTGTGTGTAAATAAAATAAATAAACCTAGTAAAATGAGCTACAATTAAAACTAAAACTTTCAAACGGGAACTAAATATTAACAAATACTAATAAAAGGTTTTGCCTTTAACATGCAGCTAAAAAAGGAAACAGCACAGACAGCAAGAGCGTGTGTGTGTAAGTGTAATGAGCCTCTGTTGACTGAACCTGAACAGAAAACACAGAGAACAAAACCAGAGTATTGAGAAGAAACATTGACAAGATCAACAGCGGACGAACACAAACGCAGATCCTTCATAAACACAGCCAGAACACCCAGAACTTATCGCCTGTTTATTAGCGGCTTCTGTGCATGGGACTTTCCTATAGTGCAGGAGAAATCAGCTCTTGCTTATGGAAGTTTCTTCACAAACAGAGCGAGACGTTCGAGCGGCTGAGTGTACATGCGAGCACTTACAGCTGAAGTCAGAATTTTTCGCCCTCCTGTGATTCAGTCAAATATTTCCCAAATGATGTAGAACAGATTCAGGAATTGTTCACAGTATTTCCAATAATATTTTTTCTTCTAAAGAAAGTCTTGTTTGTTTTATTTCGGCTAGAATAAAAGCAGTTATTTTTTTAAAGCCATTTTAAGGTCAATATTATGGCTCGTTTCCACTGACTGGTACAGTACGGTTCGGTTCGGGTCGGTACGGGTCACCTTTATCAGGCTTGCGTTTCCACTACCAAGGGTCCCCTTTTGGTGAGCGTGGTGTATGACAAAGTTTCAGTCGACGTCATTTTCACTCGAGAAAATGTCTACAATAAAGCTGCACAGGTCGTTCACATATCATATGAAAAGCACTTCTCACAAAACAGATGCTTTACACACATAAATAGTTGTGTATAAATGTTTATTACTAACTTTTATAAAAACAGGAGTTGATTATAACTGCAGATCAATGACAGTGCAAAATAGCCGACTGTAACGTCCATAATTATATTAAATAAATAAATAAATGAACATATATGAACACATACAGACCCTTACAGTCTCCGATATGTTACCAACTACAGAAGAACTACTCAAAGCAGACATTTCATCGTTAATTAGGTTCAAAACAACACAAAGTATAGCCTACAGTCAGTGCAAACCTCTCATCTGTAGCCCCTTTCACACAGTGATACCGGTAAATATCGGGAAAATTTCCAGAACGACTTTACCAGTATATTGAAAAAAGCGCTGTTCACACAGGCGAGGACGTTACGGAAATTTTCCGGAAAAGAGCATTCACACATCCACTCCAAAATACCGGTAAATTCTGACATCATTCACCACAAATGAGCTTTAAACGGCTGCGCTTGTATTTGTAAACATTTGACTAAATTACAGACTCTGTGGATGATCAATATTGTGAACAACTTTCGCATGTGGAGATGTTCATAATATGTGCGTGTGCAGGCGCTCATAGGCGCACGCAAAGCTTGAAGGTAAACAAACAACGGCTTATCATAAGCATCTCATCGATGATTATTTACACAGTTGGCATTAAGAAGAACATATAAACGTGATCTGACTAACTTCTAGCAGCTAAATGTGTCTGGAAAAATATTCAAAGGCTTTTATCCTCACAAACCGCGCGGACGTAAATGCGTCTGACTGTTGTGATTGGCTAAAGCAGACGTCTCCCGTCAGCACGTTCTAGACGTGCACGCGCTTATTACGGGAATCTTCCTTCTGCATTCACACAGCGCAGCATTCCGGCAAATTACCGGTAATGTTACAACTTCTCTTTCCGGAAAATAGCCAGAACGAATTTACCGGTATTTTCAAAAAGGACCTGTTCACACATACAAGCTTTCCGGAAAATTGCCGGCAATTTTCCGGAAAGGTCTGTATGTGTGAAAGGGGCTTGTGTCTGTAATCTTCAGCAGCACATGAAGCCTCTGTTAGAGAGTCACTCCATCATTCCCAGTTCATGTTAGTCCAAAAGGTGATAATAAAGATTAAAACAAGGCAGTTTGTTCACGTTTGCTGAAGAAATAACCTGCTCCTTGGCTTCGCCTTTTTTCCCGTGCCCCACTCTCGCGTTTGTCCTTTTCTTTCTGAATGTGTCACTCTCGCGTTTGTCAGCTTCTCACAGGATCGGGTTTCCAAAGCTTGTCAATAATCGAGTGCATGTTATTATTATCAGATCAAGAAGTTTGTTATTTCAGATAGAGATGCGCGGCGAGTGCAAGAAAGAAAGCGAAACCAATCGGGCTTCAGACTGGCTCGTTAAAAACTACGCGGCACAGGGTGAATCTGCTCTTCTCCATGGCTTTGTGGCTGCTTATCATGACGACGGCAGGGTTTGTTTGCAGGATCGACCATGGCTGCACATGTATTTAGAATTCCGCTGTAATCTCTCGCTGTGTATTTCAAACATGGCGGGTCCTTTGTTTACATTCTGGCTTGTTGCGTCTACGAATGACGTATCTCTGTAAACCAATAGCGTTCAGCTGCGCGTGTGGCTCCACCTTTTGGGACCCTTTCTGCAGTTTGGGACCCTTTCGAAAGGGTCCCGAAAAAGTGGTACTGTACGGTTTGGTTCGGTACACCTTTTGACAGTGGAAACGGCCATAAAAGCGTACCAAACCTATAGGGTACGGGTAAAGAGAACACATTATTGTGTTAAAAACACTTAAACATTCATTTCAAAGGCATTAAAATGCATTACAAAGAGTCTGGTGTAAAGGTCTTTGCGCACTGAACACACAACTGTACACACAAATGTGCACACTGAGACGGATGCGCATTAATAAATAATTTAGAAAAAAATGAAATATAATATCTTGCTTGATTTTTTGTTCAGAAATGTAAATAGAGTAAATCACTTACTCTGAAACTAATTCACCCAACACTGACTGTAATGCTGCGTTCACACCAGACGCGGAACAAGTGGATAAATCACGCTATTCGCGCGTAAATAGCCGCGTGAACATTTGAGTTCACTCTATTCATTCGCGCGTCAAACTCCGCTTTATTCGCGGGTCAAATCCGCGTCATTCGCGCATCAAATTTACTTCGGACTCGCGTGATGGTCAGAGCTTCAGTCTGGCCGGTGACTCTAGCTTCATAACTATATTTCTAACATGGATTTTATTGAGAAAATAACAGTGTTTATGTGTTTTATGAAGACTGAAAACCGTACCGTACTGTACCACTCAGTGGAAACGGGCTATTACTAGCCCCCTTAAGCAATATTTGTTTTGGATCGTCTAGACTCTATATCAGTGGTCCCTGACCTTTTTATCACCGCGGACCAGTCAAGACAAAACATTGCTGCAGCTCTGACACGAGTATCATTTATGGAGAATATGAAAAAGCCCTGCAGTTTTTCTCAGTGTTTGTCTGAGTAAGCAAGCCTTACTGTACCGTACTGTACCACTCAGTGGGAACGGGCCATGAGGGAAAACAAAATACAAAACTACTTAGCCCTGTGTGAAAAAGTGTTTACCCACCTGTTAACCAGTTAAACTCTGCTGCTATTTTGGGATTTTCACCTGGATTTTGCCTACCCAAATTTAAAAGCTTCCCAAATCTACATGCAGAGGTGTAAATGCAATAATTTGGTATCATTTTAAAGAAAACCCTTTGAGTTTTCATAAAACACCATTGAAAGTGTTTAAAATGTCTGTATATGTCGTCTGTGTTATAATAAACACCTATAAAGAGGCGCTTTTTGTATTTTTTTTATAAACTCAAATTTGAAAGTGTTTCTTTTAGGTTGTGTGTGGTCTAGCGTGCTGTAATTAATGTTGGTGGTTCCTGCACATGTCTGTAATCAAAGGAGAAAAATAAAAATGTCTCCACCATAATCTATGCAAAAGTTATTGTATTCAAACTGATGAGAGGTGCTGTACAGGCCACAGGGAGCGATCATTGTTTTCATATTTCACTATTCTTTTGTTTGATCAAACATAATTCACTGTGTTTGGACCAAATCAGACATATAAAAGGATTACTTATGCACATCAGCTCAAAAACAGAGGAGAATGGCCCTGAAGCGCACAGCATAAGGTAAGAGATGACAGCTGTCTGTGCTATCTGGGGCTGCTTATTGATCATAAATGTATTGTTTTCACTTCTGCACCATGGAAACAGCGCGATTCATTCAACAACTGTTTGATATGTGAATATAATTCAGTAAAAAGAATGCTAGACCGTATGAGCACCGGCAAGAGCTTTCATTTGAGCTATAACTTGTACATGTGTCATATGAAAAATATGAAAATGAACCAAAGTTCAATACCCAGCTCGGGTCTCCAAAATACTGTGTATTTAAGTGTAAATAACATGTGTACAGTAGAATAAAAACCAAAGTGAAGCATATGTGCATAAAATATAGATTCTACACTTTCAAACGACACCACATACGGGGGTCTGGTGCAACGCTAGCCCTTTAAATCTTAAAGCTAAAGTCGATGACGTCACCAGAGTTTAACTGGTTAAAGCTCTTTAACATGATTAAATGTTAATGCTGGATCACTGATATGTGTTGGTTTGCACCGAGTCTCAGCTCTAGAGTTCAGTTTCAGACGGTTTATTTTATTTTCCAGAGATTTTCCTGAGATGAACTATCTGCTGCTGCTTTCAGTAGTACAGCAATAAATGTCATGTAAAATGCCATTCAGACTCACATTATCAGCATTTAACACTGAATAAAGCGTTTAGGCTCGCTAGTCAGGCACACATACGTCAATCTGGCAACCTGCTCTTGCATGGACTCATCAGAAAGTGAAAATGTGTTTTGGTCCAGGAGTGCAATACCTAGTTCAGCCACTGTGTGTCAAACTTACACACTGCACCTTTAAGCATGGGTGTACCTGAATATTCACCTGACCCGTCATCATTTTCCCTTTTTTCCACATTCCTCTTCTGTGATCGACCAATAGGAGCAGGCTCTTGGATGACCAGCGTCTTGGAGTCCAAATCTGATTGGTTCTGCTCAGCGTCCGCCTTTTCTGATTGGCTTTGCTTGAGCTGTCGTTTCTTCTTCAGCCTGTGATTCAACAAGACAAAACATCATCATCATCATCACCACCATGATGCTTCAACTCTTAATATAGCATCTGAATAAATAAGTAAAGCAGTCACTTTTTCAGTCACTAGTGCGTGATGTAACTGGCAATCTCTGCCAAACCTGAGAAACTGCTGTGGGCAGATACAACATTATATATTACAATATAAACAGACTGATGATACACGAGAAAGAGGAAACAGGAGAAGAGGATCACTAATGGTGTTCGACAGAGGAGATCGATCAGACTGAAGACATACACACACATTCAGTCACAAACAAACACACACACACTAAAAGCATGCAGAACACTCTCAGCTATTATAACATGTACACACACACACACACACACACACACACACACACACTAAAAGCATGCAGAACACTCTCAGCTATTATAACATGTACACACGTACGTACACACACACACACACACACGCACGCACACACACACACACACACACACACACACACACACACACACACACACACACACACTCTCAGCTATTATAACATGTACACAAACACAAACACTCTCAGCTATTATAACATGTACACACACACACACACACACACACACACACACACACACACTAAAAGCATGCAGAACACTCTCAGCTATTATAACATGTACACACACACACACACACACACACACACGAACACTCTCAGCTGTAATAACATGTACACACACACAAACACACACACACACACAAACACACTAAAAGCATGCAGAACACTCTCAGCTATTATAACATGTACACATACACACACACACACACACACACACATGAACACTCTCAGCTGTAATAACATGTACACACACACGAACACTCTCAGCTGTAATAACATGTTCACACACACACACACACACACACACACACACAGAACACACTCAGCTGTAATAACATGTACACACACACGAACACTCTCAGCTGTAATAACATGTACACACACACAAACACACACACACACACACACACATGAACACTCTTAGCTGTAATAACATGTACACACACACGAACACTCTCAGCTGTAATAACATGTTCACACACACACACACACACACACAGAACACACTCAGCTGTAATAACGCTTACAAACACACACACACACAAACACACACAAACACACACACGCAACTGTAATAAAATAAATAATATTTCTTAAGTAGGCTGATAATATGGACCACAGCAGTTTGTTTTTTATCAGAATAGTAGTTGTGTGTGTGTGTGTGTGTGTGTGTGTGTGTGTGTGTGTGTGTGTGTGTGTGTGTGTGTGTGTGTGTGTGTGTTATTGTAGACCAGCATGAGTTCAGTCTCTGGGCTCTCGCTGTTGTTTTCTTCTGCTTCCTGTCGTTTGTGATCTGGGATGTGATATTGGAGGAAGAGGAATGTGCCTGTGATGACCCCTGACTTCCTGCTCTTAATGTGTGTGTGTGTGTGTGTGTGTGTGTGTGTGTGTGTGTGTGTGTGTGTGTGTGTGTGTGTGTGTGTGTGAAAGAAAAAGGTTTGTCTGTGATGACCCCTGACTTCATGCATTTGTGTGTGTGTGGTGTGAGTGTGAGGCATTATGTGTGTGTGGGGTGTCTGTGTGTGTCATTTTGGGTTTATTACTTATAGTTTATGATTGTTTCTTTTCTGCAGTTTAATTCACAGAATTTCTACAGAGCATGTTGAATACTTTAAACTTTTTTGGTCACATCCATAACGCATGTTTATTTCCCTCATTTAACAATGGCTTAGTGGTTAGCGCTGTCGCCTCACAACAAAAAGGTCGCTGGTATGATTCCCGGCTGGCTCAGTTGGTGTTTCTGTGTGGAGTTTGCATGTTCTCCCCGTGTTGGTGTGGGTTTCCTCCAGGTGCTTCGGTTTCCCCCACAGTCCAAACACATGCGCTATAGGGGAACTGAATTGAGTGAATGATGACTCGGGTATTCATTCATTTAGGTCTTTTTGTCACAACGGTCTTTCTCTTGAACCTTTCCCTTTAATCAGCTAGTTTAGGAGTATAACGTGCTTCATGTCATCATTAGCTGTCAGCTTTATTTCGCTTAAACTGAAATGTTTTGGGGTTTTGTTTTAGTCAGCAGCAGCAACAAGCCAACTATGAAACTATTGGTCAAGGTGCATCTGAGCTCAATTGTGGAGCACACATGCATACATACAAAACACACACGCGCGCGCGCGCACACACACACACCTCAAACTGAAAAAACACACACATAACCTCTCATTAAGAGCAGGAAGTCAGGGGTCATCACAGGCACATTCCTCTTCCTCCAATATCACATCCCAGATCACAAACGACAGGAAGCAGAAGAAAACAACAGCGAGAGCCCAGAGACTGAACTCATGCTGGTCTACAATAACACACACACACATAACCTCTCAAACACACAAACACACACACACAACTCAAACTGAAAAAACACACATAACCTCTCAAACACACACACACACACACACACAACACTACAGTACCACTGCAACACACACACACAACACTACAGTACCACTGAAACACACACACACACACACACAACACTACAGTACCACTGAAACACACACACACACACACAACTACACACACACACACACACACACACACACACACACACACACACACACACACACACACACACACACTATAATGAGAATAAAAACAACCAGAACTACAGTACCACTGAAACACACACACAACACTACAGTACCACTGAAACACACACACACACACACACACACAACAGTACAGTACCACTGAAACACACACACACACACAACACTACAGTACCACTGAAACACACACACACACAACACTACAGTACCACTGCAACACACACACACACACAACACTACAGTACCACTGCAACACACACACACAACACTACAGTACTACTGAAACACACACACACACACACACACACTACAGTACTACTGAAACACACACACACACACAACACTACAGTACCACTGAAACACACACACACACACACACAACACTACAGTACCACTGAAACACACACACAACACTACAGTACCACTGAAACACACACACACACACACACACAACACTACAGTACCACTGAAACACACACACACACACAACACTACAGTACCACTGAAACACACACACACAACACTACAGTACCACTGAAACACACACACACACAACACTACAGCACCACTGCCACAGACACACAACACACCAAAAACACAAC